ACAGATGGCATTGAAAAGGGAGGAAAAGCAGGACTGTAGCCTACAAAAGAACAGCTGAGAAAAGAAAACAACAAAAACAGGGAGATGAATGTTGATATGACAACATATTAAAAAAAAAGAGCAATTAGCCATGGCTCAGATTTAGATTTTAATCAGCTCTACTTCCAGGTTTTAATTCCCCAACTCCAACACTCATTCTTTGTATGCTTGAATTATATTTAGAAAGCTTTTCACATTCTGCAACATCTTTCAACTACTTTTCAACCTCTGCTGTAAGTTGAATGAGAATTGGAACAAGTGCTGGCTATCATCTGCACAGCCAACCTTTGCTGACATAGCCAAGGAGCCTGGGTTTAACTAAAATCTGCTTAAGTAGAGTTTTTAAGATAGATTGATTGATTTAGTAACATTTCAGTACTTACACTCCAGGAATGATATCCTGGTATAACCCAGCTAAGGACTGTTGGTTTTTAAGGAGACTAGAGTATGGATTTGAACTCATGTCCATATTAAGCATAAATGTCATTTTTCCATTTGTATGTTTGACCTATGCAAATAATTTGTTCTTTCTTCTATGAATGATATACTCTCACTCACTTTGCATAATTAATCCACCCACGGAGCTCTTGGCCCCCTTCAAATCTCCGTCCCAGATCCTTAATTTGAATGGTGAGGGACTGAATGCTTTGATTTGGAAGTTAAATTGCATTTCATCAGTGATAATTTCTTGGTCATGAATTAAGCAGTCCCAGAGCTAGTGTCAGGAAAGGTATGCACATTCAGGCATCTAGTTAGTGTATCATTTAAGAAGCACTTTCATGCATGTGCAAATTCAGATGTAATATTTGGATCAGTTTGCATGAATCTATTGCTCAATATAGTAACAGATAATGGAAACTGTATTTTGTCTGTAAAGTTGTAGACATAATTGATTTTTTTTTCTTGGGCTTATCTGTATATGAAAGGTTCAACATTTTTTTTTGTCTTTGTCCTCTTCTAATACTTGTTCACATATGCACAACACTGCTGTGTCTCTTACTTTTAACAGGAAACTGACAAGACTTTCCTATCCATGGCTTGTCTATAAATCTTTGAACTGTAATTTCACTGTCAGTGTCAAAGTGGATTATCAATAATGGTCAAGCAGAATTTGGAAAGGTCTAAACCAGTTTCATTCCAATTTAATTTCCCCTAACCTTCTCATTCTACCAGAAAAATTGAATATTTATGCAATTCTTTAAAAACTAAGATCTTTTAGACTGATATGGCAATAGAAAAGTGGGCTGCAAATGTCAGTCTGTGTCTTTTATATTACCTTTTAAGAAGTTCATCTGGGATCATTTAACTCGAAACTCTTTCTTGCTCAGTATTTTCTGTTTGTTTGCCAAAGGTAAGTACAATGAAATGGATACCACACAAACGACAAAGTCTTTTTCCTTTTGCCAATTTTTTTTCATGTTCATGGAATCCTGCTCTGTCTTCTCCTACCCTCTCTCCATCCTTTCGAAGTGAGTTACTTTTAAAAAATGAAACTTTGGGCAAATCTGAGCTCGGTTATTCTCCATCTGCTTTGAACTGCTCCTGTTCCTTTCCCTCAAAATCTCTCTCTGCTTTTCTTGGCTGTGAGACATTCCTTGTCCTGCCAGGTGACAAGAGCCAAATGTTTGTAACTGACAAATTAAAACAGTGAATAAATTTGGAAAACAATATTCTAAGGCAGTGGTTCTCAATCTGTGGGTCGGGACCCCATTTGGGGTCGAACGACCATTTCACGGGGGTCGCCAAACAACACAGTCCACCATTTCCCCCCCCTTTTCCTTAGCTGTGCTACTCCCTTTTATTCTATTGGCTTTTGAAAGCCAATAGAATAGACTCTCTTGAATAGAGTCTAATTCTATTGGCTTTCAAAAGCCAATAGGAATTGTCCAGGCTGTCTCTGCCCTGCTGAGCCCGCCAAAAGTCCCATTCTGCAAACGGTGCTGCACCAGTTGAGTAGTCCTCGACTTACGACCGGTTGAGTAGTCCTCGACTTACGACCGGTTGGGGGGGTCGCGGCATTAAAAAGGTTGAGAACCACTGTTCTAAGGTAACAAAGGTAATAAAAGATTGGAAAAATAGAGCAAAAGTCTTAGGGCTACTGAGAAGAAGAGAGTTTAATCATCTTGATTTTTAAAACTGTATATTTTTGCTACTGTTACAGATGTCAGAAAATGTATTTATTGATAATGGAAAAGCAAAGCATTCTTAATACATTATATGTATTTATTGACTCAGTATTGTAATAAAGTCTATATCATTTCAAATATCTATATAAATGAACTTTACCAATAGGTATACATAATGGATTGTATTTTCTGCGCCTCTTAAGCTCATTATTTAACAAATACATTTTCTCATTTTCATTTCTCTTCCTGTATTTTTTAAAAATTCATTCTACCCCATTTCTCTTTTCCTCCAAAAAAGACTGGTTTAAAACTTAAATATAATTATATGTTCCTGTGCATATGCCTCTTAATATATGTATTTTTGCACATATTCTTTTTAAAGCATTTTTCACAAATTTACCTTATAAAATATAATTAATTAATATGAATTTTTGTCTGAAGAATTCCATTTTAAAAAAGCCTGCAAATATTGATATGCACTGTAATTACATTTTCTGTTAAGCAGAAATGTATTGTAGATTCATGATAAAATGGAAAAATGAATTTTTAGCCTTCCTTCCTTCCTTCCTTCCTTCCTTCCTTCCTTCCTTCCTTCCTTCCTTCCTTCCTTCCTTCCTTCCTTCCTTCCTTCCTTCCTTCCTTCCTTCCTTCCTTGCATATCAGGATGTTCCAATTGAATACCTTACAAATCAGCACTGATAGTTCCACTGGAAATAATGGGAATTGCAATCCAACATCTTGAAAATTGCAAAATGAAATCCATTTCTCTGTACTCTGCCAAGTGAGGACTTTAGAAAGAGCCCCAATATGTAATTGGGCACTCACTATGGGAAATACAAATTGTATGCACTTATTATAATGAATGGGCTAATTGGGTAAAGAACTCTAAAGGCCCAGCTCAAGACAACTTTGAGAGTAGGGGTTGCATGCAAGCTTATGTTCCTTCCCTGTTTTCATTCTTCACATGTGCAGTTTCTCCTGCTACCATGCTGCCACAAGTGTTCATCAGACAACATTTCTACCATCCATGGCTAACCCCAAAATTAAAGCATGAAGGAAATGCCTCTCAGAGTAAATTCCGGCTGGAGTCAATGGCTTTTGCAGTTTGATTAATCTAGCAATTTGGCAGCTGCACAGTTAATACATCACAATAACAGTTCTTAAACAATGTGAGAAGGTGAGAAACAGATTACGGACAAGTGCCATTATCAGTGCAGATGAGTGAAACAAATGCAAACCCCAAAACAGGACCTGCTCCATGATCTCCTGTTCCTCACTTTCTTTTTTTTCCTTTTTTTAAATAAATATTTTTATTGAGTTTTATAAAGGTAATCAAGGGATAGGGTCAAAAAGGGTAAAACAACGGGAAACATACAAAAAGGTTAGACTAGGGAAAAGGGATAACACAAAAGTGGGATTAATCCCACAAAATAACATCGCTTCAGCAAGTCTACCAGTCCGGGTTTACATATTAAACCTTAATAATTACTCTATTATTAAACAACTTTCCATATAATCACGTAAATAACAAATTAGTCAATAAATTTCATTCATTTCACTACTTAATAATGCTTAATATTAATTAATTATAATCACTTTAAAATAATAATATACTACATATTAATTATAGTTTACCATATTATTTAAGATCACGAATATACAAAGAGGAAGAAGAAGAAATAAGAACAAGTTCATACAAATAATCATGGAATATAAATACAAATTATCAATTATCTCTTTAAATTTCATAACCTTTTCTCACTCTAGCGTGTTTCTAACCAATAATAAAATTTTCCCCATGTTTTAAAGTAAATTGTATCTTTTTTCTCTTTCATTTCTAAAGTCAGTCTATCCATTTCTGCACATTTGAGTATTTTTGTTATTATAGCCTGGTCAGATGGTAAATTTTCATTTCTCCAAAATTGGACAAATATTATTCTTGCGACTGTCAGCACATGCAATATTAAATACTCATTCTCTTTTCCATAATTCAAACCTAATATTCCTAACAAACAGAGTTTTGGTTTAAATTCTATCTGTATTTTAATCATCTCTTCTAGCCACATATGGATCTTAAACCAAAATTTTTTAACATTAGGACATATCCACCAGAGATGGTAATAAGTGCCTGGTTGTTGTTTACATTTCCAACACATATTTGTATATCACTTTCTTAGTTCTTTTCAAGGACAGATTAAAAATACAGAATTCTTCTTTGCACCAGGACAGGAGATCTGCCTAGAAATGTAATGGATCCCTCTTATTTTAGAGGTCAAAATTCCAAACATGCTGTTGTTGTTCCTAACCAGAATTCTGTTTCTGTCTGCTTAATCCTGCCAGATCCCTCCAAAACTCTGAGCAACATCATCTTCTTTTGAGATGACAATATCCAACTTTTCAACTTTCAGTTTTATTTTAACCGTGGCTTTTCATTTGAGGTTACCAAGCAGAAACTTTTCTTGGAAACATGGTGTCACTCAGAACTTTTGTCTGCTTGTACCACTTTCATTCTTTTTTCCTCCCCTGACTTAGAACCAGCAAAAGGCCATCTTAGTTACCTCCCTACAGTCCAGAAATATGCACATTAGCAGACATTGACCAAAAAACCTAATGTGGTGGACACTGTAGTATACACAGGAACTTGATCCTTGTTGATTAATTCCTGAATGACATTTCTAGCCAGTTCCTGCCACTGTGTATCCCAATCCCACCATTGTGACATAACACTATCAGCATGAAAATCTTTTATAAAGAGAACAAGTATATCCATATGCATGGAAACTTTTTTTTTTACTTAATATTATCAGTGAACTGGGAAAAATTAAGGTAACTCACATTAAGTAGAAGGGGCCACAATTCACAGTCAGGTCAGCTTGATCTGTTAGCTAAGAGAGAAATATTGGCTGTGGTGTTATACACTGATATCAAAAGAAAGAATGTAGATTTCTCAGTACTACTATTCCTCTTCACAGAATGTCACTGGATGCTATCAGCAATGTCAAATGTCTATTTTTATTTATGATATTTATATCCTAATTCTTTGTCACTTTAAATGACGCACAACACATAAACCATGGGTGTGTAGCTATGAGCCCAGGGCCACAAATTACCTCTCTTGTGTTCAATTTCCTACATTTTATTTTTGGTAATTAACTTCCAGTTAGTAGTCTTACTAAATAAGGCAGAAGAATTTGGGTGGTAGGGGAAATCAGTCTAGAAATAAAAGTAAGTAGGATTTAAGAAACACATAATTTCTATCCATTTTCTCATATGACCACAGGGCCATTCCACAAATTCTCTCTGTAGCCTTTAACTCTAAGAGTTGTCTTCCATCTCCTTTGGTAAAATATAAAGCTTTATGGTCAATATGCTTTATCTATGACATTTATTTCTCTTCCAATAGAATCTGCTCAGCTCAGAAAGCCAGCAGAGAATATTTGTTAATGTCTCCACCACGCAATGAGACAGAACTAGGATACAAGCCTATGAAAGTAGGTCTCCCTGGAAATAAAATCTACATTCTCATTATTAACATTTAGGAAACAGTTAAAATCTGGTTATTTAAGCAGGCGTTTGGGAATTAGAGATATGTGAATTAAATACCTGGAAGGTATATGATGCTATTAGTTATTATGCGTTTATGAATAATTGAAATGAATATTTTAGACAGATTGCATTGTATTATTATTTTTTTGTTATCTTTTATATGTTTTATTACACTTGTGAGCCTTTTAGATACCCTAACAAAATGAATATACCTTGCAACTTTCCCAGATGGCTTTTTTAAAAAAATGCTTAAAACCAAGTTCTTGCATTGAACCAGTGGTCTGAAAGGATCTCTCAGGCCACATTTATGTGTGCATATAGGTCAGAAAGGAAGAAGTCTGAAAGCCATTTGATGCACACAGTGTCACTTCTCTATTGATAGCTAAAACTATTTTGTATCTGCTGAGTCAGATCAGACTTCTGTTTCAACACTGATCTTTCTTCCATCTGGTGTTTAGATTCTACTTAAGTGTGCCCATGCATCATAGCATGGCTATTTGTTACAACTGAGTGTGAGATAGAGATTCTGTAGATAGTTTCTACCTTAACAGGTGGATATACTTGAAACACTGAGCTGCAGTTAGACTTCACTTCTGGGACTTATTCAAAGTGACATTGACTGGTCATGGAAAGCCGTAAATCACGATATGGGATCCCATGGTATTTTTGTAAATGATACCAGAGATTGATGTTTTGTTTTGGAACATGTCATTTTTATTCATGTTAACCACACTGATAGATAGGCAAAGGAGTGTGGTAGCATCTCTAGACACCATGTTGCTTATTCCTTAACTTGGTGACTCTTTGATCTGATTCATAAAGAATTTCCTTAAGTTGTTGATGCTTAATGGGAATAGAACAAAGGCTGAGGCAGCCAGAGATTATACGAAAATACATTTTAAATGCAACAGATTTCTTGACTCAAGCAACAACAAAAAAATGAGGTTGGTAATTCTTCCTAAATGGTGATGCCTAACAATACAAAGTAGGATGATACCTAATGTAGTGTAAGAAAATGGACAGCTTAGTATGCATTATAAAAGAGGAGTTTTCAATGATGATGATGGAGTCATATATTAGCATCAGACTGAGCAGCCTTTAAAAAGCCATTCTGTCTCCCTTTGTTTTCTTAATATTGCAGAGGGCTATTAAGCATATATTGAACAGAACTAGAAGTGGACCCAATAGCAACGTATAATAAGCTAATCAAATGCCAATAAAGAACACAGAGCAAAGACATTAATAAAGTAGTTAATAAAGCTTCAAACACAACAATGTGCCATTGTATAAGGCAATTGCCCAGCTTTTAACCCTATTGCAGTGATGATTCCCAGCAGGTTGCTGTTCTCTGCGGGTGTTCTCTGCAAATCATCTGGACAGCAAAGACCATGAAATTAATCCAGAGCCCCCAAAAAGGATGAATCTACTTGGTGCCCTTCACAGCCATATGTGCCGGCTACATCAAACCTTGTGTTTGTTTTGCTACTATGGAATGACAAAAATGCCCTTGTCAGATGGGTGGACATGAGGTGTTCAGGTGCATACATAAAAGCAAAGCAAGTTGGTTGTACTTTTAACCAGCTGGGAAGGGATTTTGGGCTTTTGATTGCCTCAAATGCTCCTTAGCATATATTGCCAGATTGAAAACAAAAACAAATGGAACATTCTGTAAGCATTGTGCAAAATCTATCCTTGATCCATTGTTTTCTTTCCCTTCTTTGGATGCTCACATTGTTTTTCTAATACCATACAGGAGTCCTCAGATGCTAACATTAGGTTTTGCAGGGGAAAAGTGGGTGCAAAGTTAAAACACATGTACTGCTTAAAAATAAGTGAGGTGTGATTTGGCAAGCTTTTTACATTTCTGCAATGATTTGAAGGGAAAATCTACTGGGTAGAACTATCCTGTGTGTCTGTGTGATCTGCATTTAACCCTCAGCCAGTTAGATCTCTTTGTTGAAATCTAATGGGGCAAAAGGTTATGTAGAGCTCATTACTGCAGACAGCTTTTAAATCAAAGTGGTAATGTGCCTACTCCATGCAGCTGCTTGTTCTAAGGCCTTTCAGCTGGCAAGATGTGATAGCAAACTTAGGGAAGACAAATCACTTTCTGTGTTAGAAAAATGCAGAGTCCACAGTCAATTAAAGAAGGCTTCATAAACCTAGCTAAGTAGAAGAATTCTTTATCGGGAAGATAAGTTGATGGGAATGTATGTATTTAAATTTATCTCAACAGTCTCTTTATGCAAGTCTGGTGTTTAGGATAATGATATAATGATAATGATAAAGAATGCAAGGGAAATATAAACTATCCAGGATTTATGCATAAGCTCACAATTAGTTATTGATACAGGATACGATTCATTGATTTTTGGGGGACTTTTTTGACATGAAGTTGACTGATGACACAAAATCCTAAATTGCCTGGGGCCAATGGTTCTTCCTAACCACCTTATATACAATTCTTTGATTTCTCAAGTTATTTGGCAAGTCTTTATTACAGCCTTCCATAGTGTGCTGTTCTCCAGATGTGTGGGGACTGGAAAATCCTACCAAGCATAGCCAGATGTCAACCATGCTGTCTGAAGAATTGGGGGAGACGTTATCTCAATACATCTAAAGAGCACCAGACTGGAAAGACTGTTTTATACAACAGACTTTTCCTAGATATTAGTTAATGCTTGAGGACTAAGCCTCAGATTGTCCTCATTGCCCTCATAGACCTCCCTCCCTGGAAAGACTCTATTCTCTACACCAAGGATAGGCAACCTTGGCTCTTTTATGACTCGTGGACTCCAACTCCCAGAATTCCTGAGCCAGCTGGAATTCTGGGAGTTGAAGTCCACGAATCATAAAAGAGCCAAGGTTGCCTACCCCTGCTCTACACCATCAGTTTAATAACCACTGCCATGTTCTGTCTGCTTGAATGGCAAAAGCCATTGAAACATAAAGTGGGATTTTTCAATACCCATGCTCATAGTTGGCCAAAACTCTCCACTTTGAGCAATTAAGCAACTTTTTTTTTAATTAAGTGCTTTTCAATTGACACTGCTATTTTTATTGAATATATACGGCTCACTGATTTTCTTTCCCTATAGTATTTTGTATTTTTGTGCAAACACATGCATAAAAATAATGCTCACAAATGTATTAATTATGCATACACATGCAGGATAAAACATGGTGCCAGTTCAGATAAATAAAGCAAAGCAAAGCATCCCCACCCTTGATTACTTTCCCAGGGACTTGAGGAACAATAACTGTCAGGTCAGCCAGAAAACATTTAGAGAATCAACAAATGGAACAACCTGCCTCCAGAAGTTGTGAATGCTCCAACACTGGAAGTTTTTAAGAAGAGATTGGACAACCATTTGTCTGAAATGGTATAGGGTTTCCTGCCTAAGCAAGGGGTTGGACTAGAACACCTCCAAGGTTAATTCTAATTCTAATTCTAAGGCAGGGTGTGAAACTGCTGGCCCGCGGGCTGGATGCATCATCCAGAAGCTGCACCCACCCCATTGCCAGCAATGGCAAAACTGTGCCGATATATTGCGCGACACCACGTGATGTCGCGAGTTTGACATGTCTGTTCTAAGGGATAGGGAATTTTCTTCTACTATTAATCTAACCATTCCATTTTATTATTGTATGAGTAAGAAATAAGTGCCAAGCTAGATACAGCTTATCACAGTTAGAATGGTTAAAGCCTAGAACCTGGGAGATTGTGAGTTCTAGTCCCACCTTAGGTATAAAACCATCTGAGTGACTTTGGGCTAAACACTGTGTCTCAGCCTTAGGAGGAAGACAAACCATTTCTGAAAATCTGGTCAAGAAAACTGCAAGCATTGGAATTGCCAGAAGTCAAGATTGACTTGAAGGCACTAAACAAATCATAGATACAACTGTAAAAAATGTATTGTCTGGAGAAATGTGGATAAAATCCGAAGATACTAGGAGATGACCACAGATTCTGGGATCCATCACTAATTTAAGATAACCCCCTTGCAAAATAATTACACTATCTGGAAAGCAGTTATTGTAAGGTCATAATATGCCCTCAGTGCATCATTGTTTTTGTGGTTCTATCCATTTCCACATAGAATCCAGTTCAAATCCAGATATAGCACACATAAGAGGCTGCTATATCTGATCCAACCATACTCAATTATTTTTCTGTATCCAATCAAATGTGTATTCTAATCTGCATAACTGTATATTTATCAATTTTATATAGCGGGATTGCATCCCTGTCCCCTTTTCAGGTTTACCCACAGGATAAAATATTTACCTTTGCTGCGTCTGGTACTGTAATAAACAATATATATTTCAAAAGAATATGAGCTGGAATTTAAGAATTTAAAC